CTCATAAAACTGGTTATCAACGTGATAGTTTATATCAACAAGAGAAAAAACAAGAACCATATGATCCTCTCAATAGATGCAGAGACAGCATTCGATAAAATACAGCATCCATTCCTGATCAAAACTCTTCAGAGTATAGGGATACAGGGAACATTCCTCAACATCATCAAAACCATCAACAAAAAGCCCACAGCAAATATCATTCTCAATGGGGAAACACTGGGAGCCTTTCCCCTAAGATCAGGAACAAGACAGGGATGTCCACTCTCACCATTGCTATTCAAGATAGTACTACAAGTCCTAGCCTCAGCAATCAGATGACAAAAAGACATTAAAGGCATTCAAAATGGCAACGAAGAAGTCAAACTCTCTCTCTTTGCAGATGACATAATACTGTACATAGAAAACCCAAAAGACTCCACCGCATGATTGTTAGAACTCATATAGCAGTTCGGCAGTGTGCCAGGAATCAAAATCAATGCCCAGATATCAGTGGCATTTCTAGACACTAACAATGAGACTGAAGAAAGAGCAATTAAGGAGTCAATCCCATTTACAATTGCACCCAAAAACATAAGATACCTAGGAATAAACCTAACCAAAAAGGTAAAGTATCTATACCCTAAAAACTACAAAACATTTCTGAAAGAAACTGAGGTAGACACAAATGGAAAAATATTCCATGCTCATGGATTGGAAGAATTAATATTGTGAAAATGTCTATGCTACCCAGGGCAATTTACACGTTCAATGCAATCCCTATCAAAATATCATGAACTTTCTTCAGAGAGTTGGAAAAAATCATCTTAAGATTTCCGTGGAATCAGAAAACAACCGAAATAGCCCGGAGAACATTGAAAAAGAAAACCAGAGCCGGCAGCATCACCATGCTGGATATCAGGTTTTAGTACAAAGTTGTGGTCATCAAGACAGTGTGGCACTGGCACAAAAACAGACACATAGATCAATGAAACAGAATAGAGAACCCGGGAATGGGCCCTCAACTCTCTGGTCAACTAATATTGGACAACGCAGGAAAGACTATCCACTGGAAAAAGGACACTATCTTCAATAAATGGTGTTCGGAAAATTGGACAGCCACGTGCAAAAGAATGAAACTAGACCATTCTTTTACACCATACGCAAAGAGAAACTCAAAATGAATAAAATATCTAAATGTGAGACAAGAATCCATCAGAATCCTCGAGGAGAACACAAGCAATACCGTTTTTGAACTTGGCCACAGTACCTTCTTGCAAGATACATATGAAGGCAAGGGAAACAAAAGCAAAAATGAACTATGGGACTTCATCAAGAAAAGAAGCTTCTGCACAGCAAAAGAAACAGTGAACAAAACTAAAAGACAACCTACAGAATGGGAGAAGATATTTGCAAATGACATATCAGAAAAAGGGCTAGTATCCAAGATCTATAAAGAACTTATTAAACTTAACAGCAAAGAAACAAACAATCCAATCATGAAACGAGCAAAAGACATGAACAGAAATTTCAAAGAGGAAGACATAGACATAGCCAAAAAGCACATGAGGAAATGCTCCGCATCACTTGCCATCAGGGAAATACAAATCAAAACCACAATGAGATACCACCTCACACCAGTGAGAATGGGGAAAATTAATGAGACAGGAAACAACAAATGTTGGAGAGGATGCGGAGAAAAGGGAACCCTCTTACACTGTTGGTGGGAATGTGAACTGGTGCAGCCACTCTGGAAAACTGTGTGGAGGTTCCTCAAAGAGTTAAAAATAGATCTGCCCTACGACCCAGCAATTGCACTGCTGGGGATTTACCCCAAAGATACAGATGCAGTGAAACAGCAGGACACCTGCACCCCGATAGAAGCAATGTCCACAATAGCCAAACTGTGGAAGGAGCCTCGGTGTCCATCAAAAGATGAATGGATAAAGAAGATGTGCTCTCGGGATCCCTGGGTGGCGCAGCGGTTTGGCGCCTGCCTTTGGCCCAGGGCGCGATCCTGGAGACCCGGGATCGAATCCCACGTTGGGCTCCCGGTGCATGGAGCCTGCTTCTCCCTCTGCCTGTGTCTCTGCCTCTCTCTCCCTCTCTGTGTGTGACTATCATAAATAAATAAAAATTTAAAAAAAAAAAAAAAAGAAGATGTGCTCTCTATATACAATGGGATATTACTCAGCCATTAGAAACGACAAATACCCACCATTTGCTTCAACGTGGATGGAACTGGAGGGTATTATGCTGAGTGAAATAAGTCAAACTGAGAAGGAGAAACATTATATGGTCTCATTCATTTGGGGAATATAAAAAATAGTGAAAGGGAATAAAGGGGAAAGGAGAGAAATTGATTGGAAAATATAAGTGAGGGTGAGAGAACATGAGAGAATCCTAACTCTGGGAAACGAACAAGGGGTGGTGGAAAGGGAGTTGGGCAGGGGGTTGGGTGACTGGGTGACGGGCACTGAGGAGGGCACTTGATGGGATGAGCACTGGGTGTTATGCTATACATTGCCAAATCGAACTCCAATAAAAAATTATACAAAAAAAAACAAATATGTAAACAGCCACATATTGGGTTATAGTTTATGCAAATATTATTGTCATGATCATGAAAATGTCAAAGGTAAGAGGACTGTCACTGAATGGTATCACTCTCACCTTCAAAAGGAAAGTACATAAGCAATTTTCTTAGTTTTAACAACAAAAAACAATACAATTTAACGTCTCTCCAAGATATGAAAGGTTTAAAACATGTTTATCAACAGGCTTTCTTTCATCATAACATTTGGTACATGAAAAAATAATAGCAAATAAAATGTATAAATTTGAATCTCTAATAAAAGTGCTATATGCATGTCAGGTGCTCATATGTATGCTGAATGAAACAAATAAGGGTCATATACTAAATAGTAAGTACTGATTTGAGGCTAATGCCTGAAACAGAATTTTCAAGTCTTATGAGAAACATTCTATTTCCATATTTCAAATAAAGCAATTCAAAGAGCTCATCCAATATTTATCCCATTTTCAGCATTTGAATGTGCAAAATGAGTCCATAACCTAAAGTTTACATGTCTTTGGTCAGCTGAAGAGGAAACAATATGAGAACAAATAAAAACAAGTTCTACATAGAGTAAAAATCAAAATGTTAAAGAATAAGAGCTTTGTAAAATCTTCATCATATTTAATCCCTCTTATGTAATCAAAAACGACAAATGAGCCATAAACACTAACAAAACGTTACCATTAAAAATACCACATGATTATTCATATATTATTATCTGTACTTTGCATTCAGATTTAATTATATAAATTTACTAGTGTATTTGCTTTTAGGTATTTGAAAAACAACACTAATGTACACCCTGCATTTCCTAACATATTTTACTGTGAACAATAACTTGAGTGTAAAACAAGAAGAGATTTATCACAATTTCAAAGTAAGACCCTTTGCATCACCAAAATCTATTGAAAACAGCACTCGTAAATTTCACATCATTTGGAACATATTTCTGACCTTGGATATGAGGAGCAAAGTAAAATACATGCTGTTGCCCTGCTCTGGCAGAGCTGGACTGTGTTATGTTTAAATAATTCAGCATTCAGATTCAGCTTGCTTAAACAACAATATGAAATCAATACAATTGTAGAATTTAGGGTAACATGCATTAATAATTGCCATTTCAATTACTGTACTGAAGTAGTAGTAACAGGATAGCCAAATAATTTTAGAATATTTTTTCCAATGAGGAATTATTTTCTTTACTGGCCAAGTTTGTAATTTAAAATATGTATTTTTGGGATGCCTGGGTGGTTCAGTGGTTGAGCATCTGCCTTCAGCTCAGGGCATGATCCCAGGGTCCTGGGATTGAGTCCCACATTGGCCTCCCTAAGGGGAGCCTGCTTCTCCCTCTGCCTAGGTCTCTGCCTCTCTTTCTGTGTCTCTCATGATAAATTAAAAAAATCTTTAAAAGTATAAAACTAAAATAATATTAAAAAATAAAATATTTTTACATGTAAATGCATGTGTTATATTATTTATATACACATATAATATACATACCACACAATCAAAATCTGTATGTGTATATGTACAGATATATCAAATGTTACATGTACATATGTGTCTATATACATACAACATATATACACATATACAGTGATTCTATGAACTCTAGCTGTATAAAGCTTTTTCCTTACAGAAATGTAAAAGATACATTTCACCATTTCAAAAATACATTTTTTTCTTACAAAAAGAAATCAAACCTGAAGTCTATTTTTGGAAGCAGCTTAAGAAGTAAACAAAGTTTACTTAAAACACTAAAGTTTCTCCTGCTGAACACAAGTCTTTTGAAACTCCTACAGATTTCATTAAAGCTCATTCCTATTAAGCACCTTATTATATTAAATGATATTATATTAATTATACTAAGTTACGCTGTACAATAACCATTATGAGGTAGTTTATAGTTAGCACCACATAAAATAATAAAAAACTAAAACAGCATATTAAAACTATTAAATTTAAATTTTTTAAATTAAAATTAAAAATTAAAATTAAATTAAATTAAAAATTTCATGCAAGAAACCAAACATAAAGCTTAAATGTCAACTTAGTTAAAACTTGTGACTATCCTATGTTTGTGACTTCTCCTTCAAAATTCAAAATTTTCATATAAGAAACAGTATATGTGGTGGAATTACTGCAAATTTCTGTCAATTTTTAGGATGAACAAAAAACTACTGCTCCAAAACTCATTGGATTAACTCAGAGCCTTCTATCCTAAGTCTGTATTGTTTACTAAGTCTAATTGTAAGCAGTTTTTAAATATATACCAAATGTGTAAAAATACACATAAGTGTTTTTTTCTTAATAATCTATAGAAGTACAGTGAGACAAGAACTTTTTTTTTTTTTAGACAAGAACTTGAAGAGCTGAGGTTTATTTAATTTTGAGCAGATAATGCTAAACTCATTGGTAGTGCTGGGGAAGTGTCACTACTTACAGATTTGGCAGTAGCAGAAATATACTGGACAACCATCTCACGCTTGGTGGTAAAATCTTTGTTTCGTAAAGGAGCTTTTCGTTCTTCATTAAGGTTCATGTCCTCCTATTAGAAAGAACATCTATGATAAGTGTTTAAAAATTTCTGTTTGAATTTCAAAAGTGATTAATAAATACTAATATTCTCTTTTAAAATCATACGTCCTGCTGTAACTACCAACAATGCTCATTTTGGTGGATACTTCACTATTATTTCTTATTTCAGTTTTTACCATAACATTGTATAAATTTTACCATATATTAATGGTTTATATCTCTACCTAGTCAACCAATGAGCAGAATGAAAAAATGTTTTTAAACTATTCCACAGAATAAACTGGCAGCTATTTTATAGCATACATCAGATAACCTTAGCACAGATATTAATTTACCCTGATAGCAAAAATAAACAATTTACCATTTGGCATATTCTCCCTTAAGATCACTATTATCTAGAAGAACAAATATGACTTTTAAAGTAATAGGAAATATCTATCTACAATATGTCACTGAAAAAAAGTTCCTGAGAAGTTGCTGGATTCTGAAAGCAAAAAAAGAAAATCAGAAATATAATCAGCTGTGTTTGGATGACAAAAATTACTCAATAAAGGAAAAAATATTAAGTTACAAGAAATGTTTTGAGATTCAATAAGCTTCAATTTGACTGGGAATCTTCCTTTATTACATGATACCCACACATATTATATTGTCACTGGACAAATTATTTTTCTTCACTTTGAAATTATACTAACCCTTACAACACGGGATCCCTGGGTGGGTCAGCAGTTTAGCGCCTGCCTTCAGCCCAGGGTGTCATCCTCGAGTCCCAGGATAGAGTCCCCATCAGGCTCCCTGCATGGAGCCTGCTTCTCCCTCTGCCTGTGTCTCTTTCTCTCCCTCTCTTTGTGTGTCTCTCATGAATAAATAAAATCTTATTTAAAAAACCCTTTCAACATATTAAGACATTAATAAAGGATCACAAAACCAAGGTGGAAATGTCTATGATTCAAAAAGCAGCATCAGGAGAACTTGGGTGGCCTTGTTGGTTGAGCATCCAAATCTTGATTTCAGCTCAGGTCATGATCTCAGGGTCCTAAAATGGAGTCCTGCATCAGGCTCTGGGCTCATCAGAGTCTGTTTGAGATTCTCTCTCTCCCTTTGTCTCGCCCCCAACTCACATTCTCTCTATGTATATAAATAAATATTTTAAAAAGCAACATCAAATGAAAAGACAACAGGCAGAATGGGTGAAAATGTTTCCAAATCATATATCTGATAAGGGACTTATATCCATAATATATAAAGAACTCACAAATCAACAATAAAAAGAGAACCCAACTACAAATGGGCAAAGGATCTGAACAGACATTTCTCTAAAGAAGATCTACAAATGGCTAGTACCCACATGATGTTCAGCATCAATATTCATTATAGAAGTACAATCAAAATGAGACATCACCTCACTTGCACTAGGATAGCTAAGATACAAAAAGATGATAATAGGAAACATTGGTAAGGATATGGAGAAACTGGACCCTTCACACACTGCTGGTAAGAATGTGAAATGATATAGCCCATTTCAAAAATAGTCTAGCAGTTCCTCAAAAAGTTACACATAAACTTACCACATGGCCCAGCTTATACAAAAAAAAAAAGAAAAGAAATATGTCCACACAAAAATTTGCACATGAATATTCACAGCAGAAGCATCAACGAGTGGGAACAATCCAAATGTCCCTCAAGTGATGAATGGATAAACAAATGTGGTATGTCCAGACAATGCAATATTCAGTCATAAAGAATAACCAAGTACTGATAAATGCTATAGCATGAATGAAACTTGAAATCACATATGCTAAGTGAAAGAAGCCAGTCACAAAAGACCACACATTGTATGATTACACTAAATGCCCAGAATTGGCAAATCTATAGAGAAAGAAAACAGATTAGTGGTTGCCACAGGCAGGGGACGGGGAATGGGAGAATTGGGGTATGACTGCTGATGGGTATGGTGTTTTTTCGGAGTGATAAAAATGTTCTAAAATTGACTGTTGTGATAGCTTCATAACTCTTAGAATATACTAAAAAACACACTGAAATGTTTAAGATGGTGAATTTTACAGTATGTGATTTATATTTCAATTTTTTAAAATCAGTATTTTTTCTTTTTATTCTCTTAATAATTCTGGCCATTACTATTTTTTTAATAAAGGAAGGTAATGAGCAGAAATAAAATCAACATTAAAGACTCATGTAAGAATGTGAGGGGGAGAAAAGGATCCATGAAAAGAAATCAAGCTGCATCTACTATAGAATACTAATTTCAGTGACAGCAAGAATCTCTTGATCTATTCTTGCATGCATTGCAGTGACTCCTATGATGTGTTCACAGTCAATATCTATACATTTTATTTATATATAACAGGATCCTCCTTACTAATCACCTCTGTCACTGTCTCTACCCCTATCTTTCCTATCGTATATCCTTAATTCTCATTTGTATATTGGCCTTCTGACTTGAAGACAGAAGACATTTTTTCCCTCTTCCTCACTCATAGATAGGCTAGATCTAGCATTGTTGAGTCAAAGCAGAAGCAGAGAAACAAGGCTGGATAGCATTTTTAATGTAGCCCACAGATGCTCACCTATGCCCTGATTTGATTTCAACTAACAGAAAACCTACTACCTCACAGTCAGCCCATCTCATATTAGGGAAGTATAATTTTAGCCAAATTTTTCCTTAGAAGACTTAATGCACAACAAAATAGAATAGTCAAAGTTGCAGGACTGGGTCATTATTTATTTCTTCTCTACTTTCTAAATATTGAATCACTTATCGACTGGAATTGTGCCATGCACCGAGGACTCTGTATGCTAGGCTGGCTATGGGAGTGCAAATTGAAAGAAAGCTTGTAGCCACAAACGAAATGAATTCTTTATGCAGCACTTAGAACAATGCCTGAGGGATCCCTGGGTTGCGCAGCGGTTTGGCGCCTGCCTTTGGCCCAGGGCGCGATCCTGGAGACCCAGGATCAAATCCCACATCGGGCTCCTGGTGCATGGAGCCTGCTTCTCCTGCCTATGCCTCTGCTCTCTCTCTCTCTCTCTCTCTCTCTCTCTCTCTCTCTCTCTGTGTGTGACTATCATAAATAAATAAAAAAAAATTTAAAAAAAAGAACAATGCCTGATACTTAGTCAACGCTATCTTTGGTAAATAAATAAAAATAAATAATTCATGATCTAGTAGGGAAAACATATATGCAATTATAATACAGGCATGTAGGGCAATCCCCGTGGTGCAGCGGTTTAGTGCCACCTGCAGCCTGGGGTGTGATCCTGGAGACAAGGGATGGAGTCCATGTCGGGCTCCCTGCATGGAGCCTGCTTCTCCCTCTGCCTGTGTCTCTGCCTCTCTGCCACTCTCTCTCTCTGTATGTCTCTATGAATAAATAAATAAAATCTTTAAAAATAATAATAATAATAATAGAGGCATGTATGTGATGCTTTGGGAACACAGATGATAGATGGAAAGATCAGAGAAGTTTTTACCAGGATTTGGGTCTTAAAGAATGAGAAAAATTTTAGTGAAGTCTAAGAGAATAGCTAGGAAACCATAGTGTCTTCTGTCGTATTTGGCTTCTCAGTATCATTTAAATACACTCTCTACATTTTAATACATTCTCTCAGTGTCAGTCCCACCAAACCAAAGAAGAATCCATAAAAACTACATTTGCCAGACTCCCTTATGACTAGAGTACAGAGATATGGCTTAGTTTCCACCAATGAAATGCATTTACAGGTTTTGTAGATTCAGAAATGAACTATATAAGGAAGCAGGCCACAAGTAAGCAATCCATTTTGCTGGCATGGATGGCAATACAGGAGATATGGTTATGGAATTGATGGCTGCAGCTGTGTGTTTTTTATCACGACAGTTGGACCAAGTGGTTCTGGGATGGCAATAGCCCTTCACTGGACCAAATTTCAGTTGTGTGGTTCTGAAAGTTATTCCTATATTATCTGAAGCCTGTTTCTATAACCCTCCTGACCCAAGAGCTACCTAGTAACTCTAAATAATAGTCAGTTATATATAACTAGCCAGAACAGCTTCTCTTTCATTCAATAATTTGGGCTACTAAAGTAATTCAAGTGACTAGTGATAAGAGTGTGACCCAAGAAGATGCAAGTCAGACTAGGCAAAGGTTAAACTAAAAAACCATGTAAATGTTATTTAAAGGCATCATTCTCTCCTTCAGGCTAAAGTGTACCTAACTGCTTCAATTATTTTAATTTGACATGGCTTAGTGTTCGTAATTATTTTTCTCAAATACTCTGTGCTTTGATCAATGCAAGGAAGGAAAGGACTACCACGTCCCACATCTTGAAATACCTTACCTATATTAATTCAGCGTCTGATTTTATGACCTTATTGTCCAGCACATCATTTTGCTGACTCACAGTGTTTCCATCAAAACCCCTAAGCACTGCTTACATATGCTAGGCTAGGTTTCTGGTTAAATTATAGTCTTTGACAAATGTGGTTGGCATAAATCTGCATCTCCCAAGTAGAATCAACTCTGGAATGCTAACAAGATTGAGTGTCCGTATCTGTACACCTCACAGCCAAGCATAAGAGTGTGGAATTGCCACATCTGGCAGTCTCTAGGTAGACAGTTGACTCTTCTTCCAGTGATATTTCTACAGTATAATGTGCCTCTGTTTAATTTTTAATGGCATATACTGCTAAGATCATACCATCAGAGTACAATCATGGAAGTAGGCAAAATAAGGAGGATATGAGACTATAGGCTTAAAATAATGTTGTTAGGTTTAAGTATGCTCATGCACACTAAGCCTGGTTTATATTAACTAGCTTTCAAAGACTGCTTTAATAACGCAAGGTTGTTTGAAGTTTTCCTACATGCACTATGAAATTACACGTTTCCATTACTTCATTCATGATGATGTTCTCTCTTCCTAGAATGCTCATTTTAACCACCCTCTCCCCATTCCTAACCCTTATCCCATCTCATCCCACCCACCCCACCTAAATCCTTATCTGGTTAA